GTCTCATGTCTTGATGCTTGTCTTGACTCAGTCGGTGTGCGGCTGCCCTAAGGCATGAAATCTCTTCGCTCGCTCGAACACTGGGATCGTCGGTTCGAACCTCACTCAAGGCAGGGATGTCTGTGTGTGCTTATTTTGGTTTGTGTCTAGGTATCAGCCTTGCGTCGGGCTGAACCCCCGTCTAAGGGATCTTACCGACTGTCTAAGATTAAGAAACTGAAATGAAACAAAGCGTTTCACAAATGCTTTATGCTCCAAGTGGGAGCGCAACAGGATAGATAGATAGATAGATAGAGAGAGATATATATATATAGATAGATAGATAGATTATGCAGCTTCGATTGATAGAATGATAGGTGAATTCAGGATTTGAAGTGGTCGTGGCCTGATGGTGGTATTCTGCGACATTTGGCTGGAGGGACTGAGGAAACCCACAAAAGACCTCAGTCAAGATAGCCGGGGCCCCGGAGAACATTCGAAGNCCCCCCCCCAATGTAATTTATGAGTGTAACCTTTTCGCCAGCTCGAACAGAAAATCTATTATCGAAGCTAATCACCCCACTGACATAACAGGTAAAGCTGTTCCTGTAACAGGCCGTGGAGGTCCATAGGGGTGTGAGACATCGAGGCTCCCACATTTTCTAGACAATCGGCTCATAGATGGCGGTGAGGTTGTCAGTCTTACGCGCCGGCCGCCCTTTAGCCCCAAGAATATTCCTGGTACTCATTTCTGTTAGAGGCTGAGTCGACCCCAGGGCCTTTTTGCCGCTGGAAGCATTAGGTAAATTGAAAAGATCCACCTCATCGGGATTCGATCCCGCGACCTTCTGCCTTGTAGCATAGTGCCTCAACCAACCACCCTACCGCGTGGTTTAGTAACATCTTCATTATCTGTTACACAGTTGGTCACACTGCTAGTTCTAAATTTATCAAAGTATGCAGTATTTTATTCTCTCAATAGCGATAAAGTGCTTAACAATTGAAAGAAAAATGCTTATCGCTACGAAACGGAAACACTGTTATATCCCATATTTCATAACAAAAATATGGATGCACTTATTTTTCCTCCACCATTCAAGTCATACATCTCTCCAATTTTATCCTCATTGTCTTGACTAACGTAATAATACAATTATAAGTTCACAGAATTATGATATGAGTTGAATTAGTATACAAAGATATAGGTTAAGTTACTTCCGAGTTCGCATTTAAATTATTTGATCTGTGGAAACAATGCTAAAATATGTGACTCGGCAATTGTTAAACAGATATTTTCTTTTATTAAACTTTTCACTTTTGTATACACTGTTATAGATAAACAAAGAAATTACTTACACAGACCATCGGAATTAATAACGCTCAAGTTTTTCTCGTTTTGGCCGTCGGAGAAATCCCCGCGGCCGCGCGCAGCAGCACCAGTCAGCGACCAGCGTGAGATAGGATGTGGTTGTCACGGGGACTACCAGTACGTGACGGCGCAACTCGTGTCTCAGGCCCAGTTGAGGGAGATAGAAAGCTGCGACTTGCGTCACTTTCCCACGAAAAAGCATCTGAGTCATATTCCAAAAGTCAACTTGGATCGAACCTGCAGTTCAGCTATCTTTCCTCTTCTCGAATTACAGAAGCTGTACTTTATTTTATTATTTTAGTCATTCCTTTGTTTTGTTTTTCTTTCTACCTTTACTTGGAGTCTGGATGTCTCAGTTGGTATAGCAACGGGCTGGACAGTCGGGGTCAACATAGCGCCCACACCTGCTCTGGGCCCCTCCCTGTCTCCAAACCAGTGGGTACAGGTGACGATTTCCCCGCTGGTAAAGCAGCCGAAGCGTGAAGCTGACCACTCACCTCCATCAAGCTCAGAGGTTAAGAATGTCATAGTGCTTAATTAAGTAAGCACAGGGACAGCTTTGCCTTCTTTCCATATTCTTAAGCTGATATGCCAGATTGAATTCCAGTTAACAGGTCTCTTTTGCACCTCACACACGAAGTATCTTTCTCTATCACATTTCGCACAGTTGTTGCACCCAGTTCTTTCATGCTCTGAACAGAGATGTCGGAGTATAATGCAAAAATTGTGCTCTTAGAAACTAGGTTCAGAATGTGGACTTAATTTTGGTTTGAGGCACTATGCTACAAGTTGGAACGTCACGGGTTCAGTTCCCGATAAGGTCATTGGATTTTTCAATTGACCTAGTCCTTCCAGCCGCACTATGGCCCTGGGGTCGACTCAGCCTCTAACAGAAATGAGTACCAGGGATCTTCCTGGGGGATAAAGGGCGACCGGCGCGTAAGGCTGACAAACTGACCGCCATCTGTGAGCCGATTGTCTAGAAAATTTGGCAGCCTCGACGCCTCACAACCCTATGGGCCTCCACGGTCAGGGATAGCTTTACCTTTTTTAACTGAATATCAAATTCTCGTGACCGTACACATTACAGAGGTTGTGGTAGTAGAGGCGTTAAAGCTAAGCATAATAATTATGAAGTAAAAAGGGGGATTCCGTAGGACGAGGCGCAAACGCAATGGGAGAATCACGTGACAATCTGTTCCGGTGAAGCATTTGAACGCCGCAAATCTACGTCAGTTTCCAATGTCTTGACAACTTGCTGGTGTCCACGCACTATACACAGGCGTGTTTCCACTTGATAACCGTGTTTCCTCATACCCATGCCGGAAATATCACGTCTGCATGCTAGACCTCGAACGATTCCTTACGTCACGTCTCTGAAATGAAAGGGAGTGGTTCTGCTGTGATGCAGTTTTCTCTGCGAAATATGAAAATGACGAATACAGAATGTCCTTACACTGAAACACACGTGGACTACTCATAGCAGGTAGGAGGTTATTGCTGATGTCAACAAATATGTACACGTAGGTCCCATATTTACATTAAGTTTCAGCCTCTCAATATATTATCACGCGGGCCGCGCCATAGTTCAAGCAGTTAGTCGCTGGCTTCCCACCGCGGCGGCCCGAGTTCGATCCCGGGTCTGGTCAAGTGGGATTTGTGGTGGACAAAGTGGCGCTGGGGCGGGTTTTCTCCGAGTACTTCGGTTTCCCCTGCCAATCTTCATTCCACCAAATTCTCCATCATCATAATCACCCGGGGCAGGTACAATAGGCCAATCAGTGGCCGCCGTACCGAGTGGACCCAGTTGGTCTTCCCCTCGCACTAAGCGAATTAAAAAAAAAAAAATGTATTATCACGCGTGTGGACTATCGACGGGGTTTTGGATTGGATATTGGATTAATTGACCTCTTTTACACGCAATTCGGAACTACAAGAAATGACAGAATCACAAATCACCACAAGCCGTTTCCTAGTAACGGCTTCTAGCTGTGGAGATTCTTCATATTCCGCGCTCAAATCCTCTCTGAATGGCGGCTCCTCTTCTTAATAGCCTCCCGTACACAACTCATTTGGTTGCTCCAGCTGTCTTTATAACTCCTCGCCGCGGATCACCGTAGAAACCCCCGTTTCCAACAGTATCTCTATTGTTGCATGCATATCTGTTGCCGTTGGAACGTGTTTACCGTATCGTTTCCTAGCAGCGGCCGTCTATTCTTGCTTATTAAGAATCTGCTGCCTAGCAACGGACGTCGTTCTGCTGTCTCTTTAGCTTCTGTTGCCTAGCCGTTGCTAGCAACGGCTGTTTCTCTCACTCCCCAGTTCTTGCTTTGAGCAAATATGCCACAATATGTATAAATCTATGATAACTATACAATTTCTACATTACGACATGTTTCGGCCACTGTTTTTGGCCATCATCAGGTAGTACTTGTACAGTCACTCTCAACTCTCTTTGAAACTGTATAGTTATCATGGAATTATACATATATTGCGAGGCTGAAATTGAATTAATAATATTTTACTCAAAATAGGACGCTAAAATACAATATTACTATTTCACTTCGTGAAACGTGGAGCTCCCAAAAGTGGTACGCCTTAATTTATACCATCATTGCACTCCTACCAGATATGGTTGAAGGTTACAGTGGGCAGGACATGTAGTTCGAATGAATGAAAATGAGACTTGTATCTATAATTTTGGGTTGAAAAATGTCTTGAGAAGCATCCCCTAGGAAGACTTATAATCAGACGTGAGGTAATACAGATCTTAGGTCTGTAGGTCATTCATTCGCAGGCATTTCACATGCTCCAGGTCTAGCGAGAGGTCCATACCAACATAAAAACAAATGACGTTAATAATAATAACAATAATAGTTATTCGAACGCTATAAAAAGGTAAGAAAGGAGATAGATTTCTCCTGTGCTTAACAATTAAGCACTGTGCCATGAGGACGTACGGGTGACTGGATGTACAGATCCACGAATTCTTGACCTCGACACTAGTTGGATGTTAGTGGTCAGTTTCACGCCCCGTCCTCTTATCCGCGAGGAAAAGAACTCCCGCTAACCACTGGAAGGGAGGCTTGGTAAACCCCAGAAGCGGTCCGGACGAACGCGGAGAGGCAAAAAAATCTTGCTTCTCAGCCGTCAAGCCCGTAACCAGTCGCTATACCGACTGAGCTGTCGTGGCTCACTTTTTAGTAGAGTTCTCAAGGTGTATGGAAGCCAGCAGGAGACGTACTGTTGTAACATCGCTTCGGACTTTAAGGTTACTGCGCCAACATCTATTTTAATTTCAACTCTATTCTTCATGTGAGTCATTCTCCCATTCACTCGACAAATCAGCGTCATAAAACAATGAACTAAGGAACAAATATTCTTGTAACGCGTAATTTTGTTTTTCAATATAACGGGATATTCGAAACAAATGATTATTCATGTCACATATGAATGTTGCGCTTAAAATAACGGATGCTGTATTAATATTTGTGTAAAGCAACAGAATAACGGAATAAATAAATATTCTTGTCACGCACAAATATTGTGTTAGTGATGCATTTGTAAACATTATTTTTTAACATGTGAGGGACATTCCTCGTACAGTTGCAATGACGTCAGCAGATGTCGCTACGGGCCCTGACAGTATCATGTGATGCACAGACGTGTCGAATCGTACAGTTGATAATCAATCCAGCAGGTACACTGTGATTGCGAAGTGCAGGCAGAGTAAGTGTCCTGAATGGAACATTCAGCATCGATCTTCCTGTGGGGGTGTCTGTGTGTGTGTTTTTTTTCTGTCGAACAACATTTAATCCAACGAAAGTGAAATGTGTTAAAGGACTACTCAGTGCTAGTGTAAATACATATCTTACCAGCAACGTTTCTTGTGTTACCAACAAGGTTAGTGTACGCGTATTGTTGTGTGTCGTCTTTATAGTACTACGTTATATATAGGTCTCTGTTCGGTGCAACAAGGACATATCTCCATTTTATAGACTTATTGGATAGTAGGGTTTTTCGACTTTATCCATCGTCTGATATTCTAGAAAAAAAAAAAACAAACAAAAGAACAAAACGTTTCGGAAACTGAATCTATTTCTGTCCTCAGGAAAGACACATACTCTGTTGGGTCCGTTAAAAAGAGCTAACCTGAATCACTGGATAACTTATGTCAGTATAAGTACAGCTATGTAAGTACCTGAGATCAGGCATTGTCAGTGGGAGATAATAGGATAAACGTACAATAAAAATTGTGATAAAACATGCACAGACCTGAAAGTGAGACAGAAAACAAGGAGAAATTTGTCTGCAGCGAACTTATTCAAAAGACCAAGTCCATGAAAACTTAAGCGTAAGATTGATTAATTGGAGAATTCCATGTTATGAAATCTACTGGTATAAGTAGATTCTAAAATGTTCTGACGATGGTGGATAACACTCAGAATTACTGTGTTTTTGGATTTTTTCCATCGTCCGGTATTCTAGAAAAGAGAAAACACGACGTTTCGGAACCTGGATCTATCTCCCACCGAATTAGTCTGGTCTCAGGTGTTCAAATAGCTGTGTGAATCTGACAAGGGTTGTCCAGTGATTGAGGTTAACTCTTTCTAAGGGGTCTAACTGAATAGGTGTCTTCCACCCCTCACCTGAGGGCGGAGACAGATCCACTTTCCAAACGTTGTTTTTTTCTAATTTCTGGAATACTGGACGATGGAAAAGGTAACAAAAAAAAACAGTAATTCTGAGTGTTCTACCGGTTTAAGTTTAATAATTCAAGAAGCTGCAATGTGAAACTGAGTGCGTGGAGTATCTACATGACTGGACTAACGTTACGTTTACCGAAACATTCTACGCGATTCATTAAATCATGTAATAATAAGGTAATATTCACTCATCTGAGGAGTCAGCCCCCATGTCTCCACACGCTTTACTTCTGTACATTTGTGTAGTGGTAACAAGAATTTCTTTTTCGAGGCATCCGCTTTAAACCTCGACCTGACTATCGGTTTTTCTGCCATGAGACAGTTACGGGATCGTTTTAAATAGGCAACGACTGATTCTTTTTAATTTCCCAAGTACAGGTCGACTCAGCCTCTAACAGAAATGAGTACCAGGAATCTCCCCGGGGGTAAAGGGCGGGCGGCACGTGAAGCTGAGAACACCACGTCCATCTGTGAGCCGATTGTCTGGAAAATGTGGGAGCCTCGACATCTCACAACCCTATGGCCCTCCACGGCCTGTTACAGGGATAGCTTTTTCTTTTTAAGGTTGTGTTGTTAGGTCTGGATTCCTCGTCGCGTGTGAGAAGTGTGGCAAGAAGCAACGGGGAGGTGGTTGCATCCGCTTTGAGGTTGGAAGGGAAGGCCACTGACTAACCCATACACACCCTGCAGGCCTTATCTCAGTCAGAGAACTCGAGCAGTCCACTGCGCATACTGTTGAGAGTGGCCAGGTCTGGAAACACGGACGGCACTCATAATTCACTATATCCCCAACTTACCTGATATTGCAGGATGTTTATAGTTAAATGTCGCCGTTAAATAAAACAAGGGTTTTACAAACGGTCTTTTGTGGCTTTAATCACCCTGTCATTATAACTCTTGAAGCTCTACCCTGAATATAACACAGAGTTGCCTTGTGATCGCTTCATACATTCACATTCCTAATGTAGTGTAATCGATATAGTTGAAAGGGTAAAGTTGTCATTGTGCTTCTTTCATTAAGCACTACGCCATGAAGGCGTATTTGGGAGTGGAGGCATAACTCCACCGTTATTGACCTCGACACTAGATGAAGGCTAGTGGTCGGCTTCTCAAACCGGCCGCTTTGCCCCTGGAGGAAGAGTCTCTATACCTATTAGATAGGAGATTGGGAAGGCCCCAGAACTGGTCTGGATTTTGTGAAGAGAAAAATCTCTCCCTTACTGGGATACGAACCTGGCCGTCCAGCCCGTAGCCCATCGCTATACCGACTGAGCCATCCCGACTTCTAACGTGTAGACTAGAAGGTTAAAAAGTTCCCTTTGCTTTAATTAAGTACTACACCATGAAAACGTATGAGGGAGTGGAGGTATGGCTCCTCGATTCTTGACCACGACACTAGATGAAGGCGAGTGGTCGGCTTCACGCCACGACCGCTTTACCCCCTGAGGAATAGGCCCCTGGTAACCCCTGCTCTGGCCGCTGTGTAGCAGAGGAAAAGTACTTGCTCCTTCCGGGAATCGAACCCCGACACTGCAGCACGTATCCCATCTCTATGCAGTTGGAGATAAGTCCTTGAGTTACTGGAAAAGGAAGATATCTTTTGTTGTTTCTTAATTCAAAGCTTGTAAGCCATCCAGTGAGTGTGTCCACAAATGACGATCCATGTCAGTTTTTAAGCAGTTGAATGTATACGCGTCTCTTATGAAAAGAATTACCGTGGTGACGTAACACATTAATATAGTCCAGTCATGTCACTAGCACGTACATATTAGCATTATTTAGCAAGCGTTTGGAAGAGAGAGACATTGTAAGGAACGTTGTGATGAGATCGTAATTAGAAGCAACTGCCCAGTGACTGTATTACGTCATACAGCAAATGAGTAAGCTTTCCGTTCCTTGTAACACACTGAAACCAGTTTCCTGTTGACAGGCGCATGATGGAGACCGTCTTAAAATGCGTTACCATTGCAACGTTTCTATTACTGCGGTACATACCAGTGGCTGCAGAGTGTCCGCAGTCCTGTACGTGCCGGAGTGGCGAGATAAAATGTCGGAGAGCTTCACTGACAACAGTACCCAGCAACTTAAATACTAACACAGTTGTAATCGATCTATCGTTCAACAGCATATCGATACTCACCAACAGTGTCTTCGACAACACGCCTCATCTGAAGACTATTGTCGTAAGTGACAACGGTATTAAAATGGTGGAACCAGAAGTGTTTAACGGCTTACAGGACCTAAGAGAAATAGATCTACATAACAATAATATTGATTATATCCATCCAAGCCTTTTCCAAAACAATCCTAACCTTTCAATGTTGGATCTTAGTTGTAATGATTTAGAACATTTATGGCTTGATTTTAGCTACAATACTGAACTAAAGTTTTTGAATTTAAGTGTAAATATGCTTAAATTTGAAGACCTAGCCATTTTCCGTCCTCTGATATCTCTGCAAGTGCTAGATCTATCAAATAATCAAATGGAAAACATGAGTGGTGAAGTCTTTGATGGGATGGTGGATCTGAAATATCTCAATGTATCGGGTAACCCACAGTTGGAATATGACTGCCGCTTGAGAACATTGTGGACTTTGTGTTACAAGCAGAACATAACTTGCATTACTGATGACCAGCAGTCATTCAAAATGGTTGACAATCTACACTGTGATACTGAAGAACAGCTAATAACCATGTCTTTAATTGATGAAACAGATGGGTTTATAACAACCAGCGAAAATAGCATTGAAGGTAGCGTGGAAGAGGGCAGTGGCATGGAATCTACGGAGATAATTGAGGATAATGGGACAAAAGAATTTAATTCCACTGAAAAGGCTTTTATTCAACCAACAATCACAACGAACGGCGATTGGTTCCTTATAACAATTATTGTGGGTTCGGTGTTCTGTGTTGCTGTAGTGATCATAGTGGCACTGATTTGTATCCGTCGATATAGAAATTCTCGTGGCGAAACATCTGGACATTTATCTCGCACGAATTCTATCGATTACCTTAATCAAGAAGATCAGTTTAGCAGAAAATACAAGAATGCAAGACATGATAACGTTAAAAATCACAATAATTATGATCGTGTCAGTCCGGAGATCAGTAACAGTGTTATACAGTTTAAAGTTGGTAGCACTGTGGCGGCAGAAGTTGTGCGGGTTCCAAGTTTTAAAACTCGTGGTGTGGCGGCGCCATTAAATCTTCCAGAAGAGATTCCTCTTCAAGAAACAAAATTTATTATTGAAAATAAACGTGATGTGTGTCACCTACCTATTCAGCCATCAACAGATTCGCTGTCACGTTCCAATCAAATGTTTCCATATGAACAAAGCGAAACGGCGCGGGTGAACGGTGTAAGGTACGGGAAATATGCTGATGGTTCTACGCCCGACATTCAATACGCGAAACCAGGGAAAAGAAACGCATTGACAGCCAGGCTGACTTGAACTGGGACCTGCAATTCAATAATGACAGCTATTGTTTGGGTTTATAATCCATAGCAGATGAAGTCTATCCACCTTACGAGCCACGTTACGTCATACCTTGTGTAGGTAACCTTACGGAAGAGAAGTTCCTGTGTAAGTATGACTTTCTCACCGGTACATAAGTATTGGAAATGTGTTGAAAATATAGTAGAATTCAATTCCCGGTAGGGTCAAGAATTTTCTCTTCTCCACGTCGTCCAGACCGGCTCTGGGGCCCACCCAGCCTCGTACCCAATGGGTACTGGAGGCTTCTTTCTCTGAAGTAAAGCGGCCGAGGCGTGATTCTGACCACTCACCTCCAGTTAGTGCCGAGGTCAACAAAACGTGGATTTATACATCCACTCACACATACGTCTTAATGGCGTAGTGCTTAATTAGTTAAGCATAGGGACAACTTTACCTTTTACTTCTTTAATAAGGGCATACAGAATATTTTGAAATGTATTCTGTATAGTGCTATATGAATATGTTGAAAATAAATGTAAAGGTTCATATTCAAGCTAAGTGTAACGCGATTTAAGGAAAAATATTTGACTTTATTCAGTGAAATATTTACAACATTTCGTCAATAAAAGCAGCGCATTTGATGCTGTATCTTATACAGGGTTATCCATTCAAAAGTATACCCAAACAAAAAAAAAACATTGTATTCTATATCTTAATAAACCTAAAACACAAATGAGTGTTATGAAAACATGCTGGAAATGTATAACAGTGTTTTGAATATATGCATCAATACTTTCGGCCATGTTTCGCGATATACGTATGAGAGTTTCCGCCGTCATGTTATTAAAGTACTTTCACGGATTTAAATGGATCACCCTGTATAATTATTTAAGTTAAACTTTCTACTTCTGCCCTAAAGTAGTGTATTACTGATTTTTAACTGAAGTTTGATTAAGAAAGTGGGCATTGTTCGCTAAGGCGTTTCCTGTGATATTTGTTATTGCCTTGCAGAATAAGGTCAACATATACCAAAGAAGTATCAGCTTTAATAGTGCACGATCTATCAACAGATCAGGAATTCTAATCGGAAAATATCGGAATGTCCCGATTTCTGCTTACCAAGATAATATACAGATTTATAATTTATTCTTTCATCGAAATGTAAATCACAATAAAGACTGGACGAAAAGATTTCCGAAAAGTCTGATCAGTGGACTAATAATACTGATCTTGCATGTGATATGTCGTCGAAGAGTAGAAAGGAAAGGAGACTATTTTGTGTTTTCATATTTCTCATAAATCTTAGAATAATGCTTTAAAGGTGGTGATGAAAGGAGGAAAACAGCGTGTGTTTTCTTTATCTGTATGTCTGATAACATTTCTGCGATAAATCAAATAAAACTGAACATCCTGTTACAGTACATCGATACCTAGGCAGTCGTCTTCTACTTATCGTCTTCCCTTCGTTTATGACAGACAGAGGGAAGACTGGACACGTTCACTTTCTGATCTTCTGTTCAACGTGATGACGAATGAATAATTTCTCCAATGTTTATTAAAGTTTGTATGAGGGAGAGTGAGTAAACAGGTCAAAAATTGAATTAAAGCAGCTGCAATGGATGTAATTGATTTTCTATGTGTATCACTAGGTAACAGCACAGTCCAGCTTCATGACAGTCTAGGTAGCAGACTCATACACATTTTCAAAAGCTGGTTTCAGTAGTCAAAATGGCTGCCGTGTTTGACTGTGTACTACCGAAGAGAGCGGTCTGCTGTGCGTTTTATGGGCAAAATGACTCAATGCAAAAGATACTCATAAATAAATAGTTCCTCTTTGCGGTGGGAAGTGTTTGTCGTCTAAAGCAGTTCAGACTTAATGGCAAATGTTTTCCTGATGACAAAGAAGTTGAAACGGAGGTGGGTAAGTGGCTGAGACAACAATCAAAAGACTTCTATGCTGCGGGTTTCGACGCCCAGGTAAAGCGATGGGACAAGTGTATATATGTTGGTGGAGGATATGTTGAGAAATAAATGTTTTTTCAAGGTTCGAATATCACAGTTTTTAGGTTTTATATCCGATTGTGACCTGCTTATTGACTCTTCCTGTTATTAAGTTAATTCCATCAGGAACCAGAATCCTGCTTTACTTTTTAAATTTCATCAATTTGAATACGACGACGCGAACTTTTGAGGTGGCAGAAGTTATTCGAGTTCAGGAGTATGGAAAGAAGAAATTATCGATTATTAAGGCTACAAATGTACTGTATTTAATACTGTATACCATTAATACGTTATATAAATAATTTTGAAAAATTGTCTTCAAACTCTTCAGATGATTATGTTCACACCTTTTGCAGTTCTAACCTGAAATTCAATCAGTGTGTTTTTTCCTCACAGAATATGATCCGCAGAACAAAATGGTTGGAGCTGTAATATTTCTGATCCGTAGTCTGGTGGTGGTCTGTTCGAATCTCAGGTGAGGTACAGACCATCTTGATTGAAGTTTTCGACACCGTATATGTGTGTGTGTGTCTATATTCATGTTCTTCCAGTCAATCTGAGAGATCAAATTTGTAGAGCGGAGCCCTTCTTGAGAAGCCGGCAGTCACTCAGTCACTCAAGAATTTACCAACGGTTTATGGAAGCCTAAGGTTCATTACACATGTTCACAACAGCCCTCCACTGGTCCTTACCCTCAGCCAGAATAATCCAGTCCATACCACCCCATCTTACATTCCTAAGATTCGTTTTAATATTGTCCTCCCACCTATACCTCAAGTGGTCGCAATCTTTAACCAAAATCCTGTATGCATTCCTTTCCTGTCCCATGCTTGTTACATACTTTGCCCATCTCATCGTCTCTGAATTGATCGTCTAAGATTGAATATGAATAATATGAATACAATCAAACGTAACATTTTTAATTAATTAAACTTAACATGTTTCAGTCTCAAACGGCCGTCTTCCGGACCGTCCATTTTGAAAGAAAATTTTACATGAACTTAGAACAAACCACTATAGGGATGCCGCAAGACACTGTCACGCAGACGTTGCAAGAGAGACACGTAATCTTCTTTCGTATAAACGGACACTGCCTTCTGCATGACCTCAGACAAGGTTCCAAACTTGTATTCTGTACATCACTAGCTCCTGCGTCTTATTGTTTTTTAAATGTTAGGAATATCTTATTACTAGGGGGGCACGCGGTAGCGTAGTTGGTTGAGGCACTGAGCTACAAGCCGGACGGTCGCGGGTTCGAGTTCCCATGAGGTCATTGGATTTTTTAAATTTACCTAATCCTTCCAGCCGCGCTATGGCCCTGGGTTCGGCCTCTAACAGAAATGAGTACCAGGAATATTCTTGGGGGTAAAGGGCGGCCGGAGCGTAAGGCTGACAACCTCACCGCCATCTGTGAGTCAGTTGTCTAGAAAATGTGGGAGCCTCAACGTCTCACAGGCGTATGAGTCTTGTAGGCACACAGAGTGATCAATGTTCACGCCACGTTTTGCTTGCTAATTTGTGCACCCCTGCGAATCGGTGGCTCACACCTCGGGCTGCATATTTTACGGGGGGAAGCCGCAATGGAACAGTGTTCTGTTGTTGATGAGGCTGGGGTGAGTGGTTGAGGGGAAACATTGCTACTGGGGTGCAGAGGGGTGGTAATGGACAGCCAACTCCCGGGTCCCCACACACCGAACGTGTCTTAAAAGAAAGTTTTATTCTTTGAAAATTTTACATCGCCTGAAATACGTCGTTAAGAGCATTGATGCGTTGTCGTGATGCCAACGAAATGGGGCATTTGCAATTCCGATGAAAGAGCACAAAACTGAGGATGTAAGAATATATGTTTCGTGTCTATTCTTCTGGTTGGCAGCAAGGATAGCTCAGTCGGTATAGAGGCAACTGGCTGGACGACCGAGGGGTCGGAGTTCGAGTCCCGGTATGAGCAAGAATTTTCTCTCCTCCACGTCGTCCAGAACGGTTCTGTGGCCAAACCAGCCTCCTATCCAATGATTACTGGAGGTTAAAGCGGCCGGAACGTGAAGCTGGTCTCTCACTTCCAACTAGTGCCGAGGTGAAGAAAACTTGGATCTATTCATCTAGTCCCCCGTACACCTTCATGGCACAGGGACGACTTTACCTATTCTTGTGGTTGCTGCTGCAGAGTAAGGGGAGCCGACGTAACTCACTCGGTGCACTGAGCCTTCCTACGAATCGGGATTCGAGTTCCGAAAGAGACAAGGAATTATTTTCTTCTCCACAGCGTCCAGTCCGGTCCTGGGGCCCACGACGCCTCCTACATAACGGGGGTGGCGGGAGGGGAGTGTGTTCCCACTCATCACATAGTTCAGGCGGTTAGTCGCCAGCTTCCCACTGCGGAGAAACTGGTTTGATCCCAGTTAAGGTCATATGGAATTTGTGGTGAACAAAGTAGCACTAGGGCAGGTTTTCTCTGTGTACTTCGGTTTCCCCTGCCAATCCTCATTCCTCATTCATCATCATCATCATCATCATCTATCATCCGGGGCTGGTACAAGAGACCAGTTAGTGGCCGACGTACCAAGTGGACTCAGTCTCACCCCACCCCAAGAAATTAATAAATTAAATTAAGTAATTTTTTAATGCTAGTGGAGTGGGACTAATTCCCTTGTACTGCGGCCACTTCTGGCCTATTGCACCAGCCCCAGATGATAGGTGAGGGTGATTGTGGAGCCATTTGGGCTAAAAATTGGCATTTTGGATAAACATTGTCCCTGCGCTTAACCAAATAAGCATTACGCCATGAAGACGTATGGGGGAATGGATATATAGATCCAAGTATTCTTTGCTTCCGCACTAGTTAAGAGGTGAGTGGTCAGTTTCACGTCCCTTCTGGTTTCACCCCGGGTGAAGAGCCCCCGGCACCCATTGGATAGGAGGCTGGATGGACCCCAGAGGATAATAATTTTTCCACTGTAACGATATTAACGGCTGCGGTGTCCGTGGCATCTGGGTTAGGTTTTCTGAACACGTTCAGTGTGACCTTGTACAGGACGTCACTGCAAGGAGCGGATATATGACGTAGATGCGGCGGAAGGAAATGGAAAACAACGAATTCCAAGGACAAAAACACAGAACACATTTTTTTCGATCGTGCATTTTACGACGTTTTCGGTCACAATTGCTGGGTTTTCGGACTTTGTCCACTGTACGGTGTTCTAAAAACCAAAATAACGGAACTTTCCGGAAACTGGATCTGTTTCCATCCTCAGATGGGCGGAGGAGACACCTGATGTGTTGGATCCGTCAGTGATTGAGGTTAGCTCTTTGTAACAGACACCCCCCCCCACCTCACCTAAGAATGGAAACAGACACAGTTTCCGAAATACCCTGTTCCATGGGTTTTAGAATACCGAATGATGGAGACAGCCCCAAATCCCAGTAATTCTGTTATACACCATCCATCAGAACCCTTTAGAATCGACATTTTCAGTGTCTACATCTCAGATTATAGATACACGATGTTAGGAAGGAACTGAAATGTCGTGGTCTTCACCAGTGTACCGGCGTTTGCTTGGAGGGACAGAGGAAATTACCACAACGCTCATGGTAGCTGATGTTCCGGCCGAATTCGAACCGAGAATCTCCAAAATAGGAGCCCGGAGCGTTACCGCTGTGCCCGCTTACTCGATAATAAAAAATAAAAAACTGTTGCAACTTTCTTTTATCAACCCGTGAAACTACGGGCGGTAAACCCGGTAAGGGGTGGATACTCAGCTGAAGACATGGGCAGTTTCGGGACTGGAAGTTCTCACTGCTGTGGTTGCCACTGAAAGTCAACCGACGTTTCGGATGCCTCCTTCTTAAAGGTCAAAGAATAGCGTTGCTGCTTGCTCTGCTCATTCTTAAAACCAAAAGGAAGCACAATTAAACGAACGTCGGTAAAGTTCTACTAGACTACACGGCAATACATCCCAGGGGCAGTACTCTTCAAATTTGAAGTCTTATCACGAAGATGTCACACAACAGTTGCAGTTGTCTGAAATTTGTCTCTCGTCTCTGATGTTAGTATAAAATCCATACTGTTTCGGAAAGGAGTTATGTTTCCTTCTTCAGGCGCAGATAGTATGAATAAATTCGTAGAACTATTCTCATGCCCTGAACCAAGTTCCCTGAGCATGGAGGTAGTAAGTAGTACATATCTACCAGACTACAAGGCGGCACATCCCAGAAGACAGTAATCCTGATGCATCATGTCTGGAGAAACCATCCGACGCCATATTTGTGAGATTTGGGATTATGAAGAGTTCTGTCTTCTGGGTTGTCATACTTACGGACAGGCCTTACACCCAGAGTTTGCCTGGCAGAAGTCCAGACAAATGTGCGTCCAGAACATTGCAACAGGCCTAAAGGATTTTGATTTATAACTTTCATTGAAAGTTCACGAACAACAAACTTTTGTCCAGATAAAAGAAAATCACATGAAATATTAATTTCTTTCATCTTAATTTCAAATTGCGTACTCAAGTTGCTTGTTGCTTGAAGCACTACCGATCAATACTCTTTAAGTTACAAACGTAACATCTGCTGCTATATAATTCAACAGGAACTCCCAACATCTGTTACACAAGCCTCAGTAAATTAACTTTTCCTGCTTTCTCCCGTATTCCTTCACGTGTTCGAATGATACGTCGAGGTCGAAGTTTAACGCCATCTCCCATGAATAACACACAATTAGTCACTCATAGACCTCCCATTTGCGTGCTACACACTTCGCATATCCGCATGTCAATGTTAGGAATACTCACAAAAGAGACAAGAGGCAAAAAGTTAACAAAAAAAAATGTAAAGCTATCCCTGTAACAGGCCGTGGAGGCCCATAGGGTTGTGAGACGTCGAGGCTCCCACATTTTCTGGACAGTGGGCTCACATATGGCGGTGAGGTCAGCCTTACGCGCCGGCCGCTCTTTACCCCCAAGGAAGATTCTTGGTACTCATTT